CCATGTATAAATCTTAAATTCATTGGAAACATTCTCGAGAGTCATCCACTCTACTCAAATCTCAATTAGACTTGCCAAACGGGCCGAATGACCTGTGCCCCATTAGCACTCCAACACCCAAGGAAGTAACTCCACCTTAATGCAACCAAATAAATTCATGTCCCATCCACATTACATCCTTCACCAATAACAACTCAAATCGTTCCGTGATTCTCATAAAGCCTAATACAACTCGTACCCTGAAATTCCTTTACTCAAGTCTTCCTCGATCTCACCCTCTGCAGAACATAACTCATTCACAAATATACCTTAACCGAAAACCAATACAACACATAACCGTGAAATCAACTTATCAATAGCGGACTCCCCCACTTGGCTCAAAGCCATAGATCAAAACACACCCTGACTCGCAATGCCCTTACTTTATTACAACCATAATACCGCAGTGAGATTCAACTAAATCCTCCATAAGTTCATGCAACACATACTCATTACGTAGCCATCCGGCCACAAATTCTTCTAATAGGGACACTACCGAATATATAAATCCAAAAGCACGTGCTCACATAATCAACACCTCTGTGCTCAAACCACAGTCAAAACCCGGCCTCAAGTCCTCCAGACTGGCCAATCATCAGCATACCGAAGTCATATCTCGCACCTCTTGCATGGAATCACAAGCCGTCGATGTACAGCTGATACCGAACACTCACATGCGCATACGAATGCGTGGAAGGAATTCAAAGAGTTACGCTTCAAGCTGAATCAATGCCGCACGATAAGGAAAGAAAGATGGGAAGTATATCCTAAATGTCCTGTAGCCTCTCGAAGATAGATATAGACGTCATCATACCGATCCGCAAGACTCTACAAGACATTTGCTAATGACTTGTACAACCTATGAACCTAGAGCTTTGATACCAATATATCACGACCCAAAATCCACCAGTTGTGATGGAACCTAACCCGACCCGCTAGGGAAGACAATTAACTATTATCCAATTCCATTTAACTTAATAAAATAATTAAACAACAGAATTATCTAAATCTTATACATTTCCTAAGGACCGTAGTTAAGATCATGAGCTTCTAAGAATAGAGTTTACAAAGCAGACATGAAGAAAATACATCTTCTATTCGAAAATTTCGTAAATAGAGTTTATAAATCTAAGGCTACCGTGAACAAAAGGCAGCTACAACAGGATCGCAAGTACGCCTTCAAATCCAGCAACCATCGATCGCAGCAACCTCAATATCCGGGATTTGCACGCAATGTGCAGGAAGTGCAGAACGAGTACAATCGACCCCATGTACTCAAAAAGTGACAAACCTAACCTTAGGTTGAAAGCAGTGACGAGCTAGTACATAGGTCGGGTCCAACACAAATAACTAACAGTAGATCATACAATGTACAAGTAGAGAAATAGCTCAGAAATAAAGTGCTCAAATACTCTACCAATGAAAGCCCAAATACTCTACCAATGAAAGCCCAAATACACTACCGAAATCGTTTCAAAATATGAGTAAGTTTTGAAAACTATAACTTTTTTCCTGAAAATTCCTTTCCACAATAGGTAGACATGTGTCATTTTCTTTTTCAAATAACAAGTGTGAAATACCTCTTTATAACCACATATCAATGTATGTAAAAAGTCCTGAATGACGTGATACCTTACAGCATGAGGAAAAATGCATCTCTATGCATGTATGACATATGTGCATACCAATGCCATGTACTTCAGAGATGAATCATGTATTCACACTCTCAGAGTACTCAACCTCACTGCATCCCACTCAACCACTCTGTACTGTATATGGCCCATACGACCTAGAGAAATCCATCCCGAAACATATACAACACCGACTATAAGTCGTCCAGTACCGAGGATAAAGGGAATTCCAACCCTGTGGAGAAATCCATCTGCTGGAATCAACTACTTCGGACAAATCCATGCTCAGGGAAATCCATCCCTCAATAATGTATAAATGCTCAACCACACGGTAACGTATATGGCCCATGCGGCCTAGGGAAATCCATCTCGGAACATACTCAACAATGACTAGACGTCACTCGGTATCGAGGAAAAAGGGAAATCCATCCCTGTGGAGAAATCCATCTGCATATATTAATACTTCGGACAAATCCATGTCCAGGGAAATCCATCCCTCAATAATATCATCCGTGCTCACTGGGGGTGTGTTACAGACTCTGGAGGGGCTCCTACATCCCAAGCGCTACCATAATCATCAATATAACCGCTGCGGCGTGCAGCGTGATCCCATAGATGTAACTCATAATCAGGCTCTCGGCCTGACTCAGTCATCACTCTCCAGTCTCACCCTCGGGCTCTCAATGTCATGAAAATTGACCCAGAACAATGATATGATGTATCAACAAGTAACAAGTGAGACTGAGATACCATATGAATGCTTGAATGCAACTGAGTACAAACTATCAATGAAATCAATGAGATGACAGCAAGAAACGACCACTATGGTCCCAACAATATTCGCATAAACCCTAAACATGATATTTAGCATGATGTAAAGCTCAATTATTTTATCACATGGTAAAAAAAACAAATATCAACAAAGTGGGCCACTAAGTAGTGCCCTGGAAATAACCGAGTCACAACTCAGAGGGTGCACGCCCACACGCCCGTCATCTAGCATGTGTGTCACCTCAGCACCAATCACATAACACATAATTCGGGGTTTCATACCCTTAGCACTATGTTTAGAAGAGTTACTTATCTTAAACAAGCCGATCCCGACACTGATCAAGGCAAGCGATGCTCCAAGAATGCCATCACGCGCGTAAGGACCTTCGAACGGCTCAACACTAGCCAAAAGCAACTCAAATACATCAGATAAAACCCAAGGAAGAAATTACAAATGATACAGATCGATTCCGAAGTCAAATCCAAAATCCAGCCAAAAATCACACCTGGGCCCACGCCTCGAAACTCCGAAAAACTCACAAAATCTGACAGCCCATTCAATTTCGAGTCCAATCATACTAGTTTCACTCAAACCCGACTCCAAATCGGTGTTCAAAACTCAAAAATTCGTATTATGAAACATTAGGCCAAAACCTCCAATTTCCTCTTTCAATTCATCAACCATAAGCTAAAATCAAAGATAGATTCATGAAATATAACCATAAGCTAAAATCAAAGATAAATTCTATCCATCACTTCCTCATCTGCGGACTCATAACTGCATCTGCGGAGTCGCTTCTGCGACATAACTGATCACGCCCAACTATGCCTTATAAAAAGGACAATGCGGTCGCTGCAAATATAATCCGGTTTACAAGTCCGAAGTCGAATCCCACAGAGAACTGAGGTTTAGCTACAGCTGTTCACTATCACCAAGAAGACAAGCTTGAACAATTCCTAACTTATAGATATTAAGATTCTTCTGTTTAACTAATTAACTAACAAATTAAAATAGTAAATTAACAACTAACGATACTGAGGGTTAGAGAAAAGATTAAGGAGGTCTAGAGTTATGATTTCCCCAATTGTGGGAATCCTTCCCGCTATGTCTTCTATAATTTCGCCTAAGTATTCTCTACCGATCATGAGCACTCTTATTACCGTAAATCTCTCCCGAGTAATTACGACAATTTACTAGACGCACTCTCCCGAGCTACGCTAGCTGGCTTTTAATACAGCTCACTTCAGATCGCACCCAAGGCTTGGTTATCCCTAATCCCACCTTTAAACCCTCGGTTATTGATCCCTCATATACTCTGGGAGTGGTGTTGTTCAACAATTACCTAAATATGCACTCTCTCCCGAGTTATGCATACTAAATAGGCACAGCTAATTGAGAGCTCTTCAATCAACCAGAATATAAACGTAGTTGAACAAATAGAGAAAAGCTATAGCTCAATTATATAAAAACATAACAAGAATTTATCCTACAAAAGGTTCTATCAAAACTCTAGATAACAAATTAGCTATTCATAATAGTATGTAAAACTACAATACTAAAAGTCATAACCAACAATGAAAAATAGGAAGAGGAAGGAAAAACTCGTAGAAGAATTCTCCGCCTTGCTCCCAATGTGTTCTTGCCTCCCAGGGTGTTGTCTAATCCTAATGTAGTGTCTCCTGCCTCCTTAGGTCTAATTTGTGTCCAAAATATGTCCCCCTCTCTTTCTTGGCCGGCTTCCTTGGTTTAATATAGGGTTTAGGGCTTAAAATCCCGTGTTTTGCACATAAGTCCTTGAAATTTCCGCCTCCTGCCGCGGTTTTGCCGCGGTCGCGGTGGAACCGCGGCCAAACATGCCCTCTGATTCTTCAGTTGTCCGCGACCATCTTCTACCGCGGTTCTGCCGCAGTCGCGGTGGAACCGCGGTTTTTCACCCTGTTCCGTTTGGAATTTGGAAAAACGTAAAACATGAAAGTTGTAGCCCTTTGAGTTAGCTTTCCAACCATATATTGTGGAGCCCAAATGGAGTTCTGAGCAAAAAGTTATGTCTATTTTACTAGACAGTGCGCAATATGCCTCCTCAAGTCTTCGTTCGTACTTAATTATCAAATTTGACCCCCGAACACGATCCCGGCTTAATTCCTTGAGCTTTTACTCAGACTTCAAAGCGTCAAATCACTTAAATTCATTCCATAACATCTATATAGCTCGGAATCACACCTACAAGGCATAAAACACACAATTAGTGCAAAACACTAGCGATTAAAGCGCAAACTCAATTAAAGTGCAGTAAATTAGAGTGTAATAAGCGACTAAAATACGTAATTATAGCCTATCATCACTTATATACATTTGTATTTCCCAACTTGTTGTAAGGAATAAATTTCCTTTTGAATAAAGCTGGGTAATCTGCACATATGCCGTGAAGCTTTTAAAACCAGTGTTGATAAATATTATGTTGTGTTTCATCTGACCAAATACAGTGCTTGGTTATTTGGTTCTTCATGTACATGCATATGTTTGGTGTTGATAAAATCTTATGTGTTTCGGCTGTCCAGTTATGGAGCTGGGCTACTTGGTTCATTGATGTACATACGTATGTTGGGAAACAGCGTGGATTCTATAAGTACAGACGGACCCAAAGCGCTTATCAAGTATGCCTTCATGATTCAATCTTTAGCTTCTATACATGTTTATCTCGAATATATATGTGTTGTCTTTTATCTTCCTTCTTTATCATAGCCAGAATGTAGTTCCATAATATTTTGCTTTTTCTTAAGAAACTGAATCCCATTTCCATATCATAGCCAGAATGTAGTTCCACGAGTAGATTCCTTTAGAATGAAGTATCAATACATCTGTTTGTCTGTTAAGTGTTTGGTTCCTACCTTTTCCCTTCTGCCTTGTCTCCTCCTCCTAAACCCCAGGGAAACAAGGGAGGGATTGGGGGGAAATGACTGGGATTAAACTTTTCTGACCGAAAGGTGTTTGCATTCTCTTGTAACTTAGGATACAAAGAGGGAAAGTTAATTCAGGCTAGCTTTGTATCATTCTTGTATGATCTGCATGGTATATGTGTGCTACGTTGTGGAAGTGCTATAGTTATCATATAATTTATGCAGCTATTTGACCATATCGGCTCCAGTAATTTAAGGTAAATGGCTTAGTATTAGTTTCTCCAAGTTGTTAATTTAACAACACATACAAGCTCAATAAAGATTCTTGGTGTAAACCAATGGAGCTTCCTATAACCATGAGTTTACACCAAGGATTTGCCTTGAGCCCTTTCTTATTTATCCTAGTTACGAATGAGGTAACCATTGCATACAAGATAAGGTTTCATGATATATGTTAGTTGCAGATGACATTTGTATTAATAGACAAAACTAGCTAAGGAGTCTACCAAAATTTTGAAATATGGAGAAGTACTCTAGAGATAAGGTTTTTAAGTAGTAAGACGGAATATATGCACTGCAACTTTGACCCTCATATAAGAATGAAGTTGAAGGGGGATTGGACAAGATCGTTGTGTGAAGTTGAGACAACTAAATCTATGTTCTGCTATTCAAGGGAATGATATAATAAATGAAATATAACACATAGCATTTGATTAAGATGACTGATATGAAGGAGTGTAACGAGAGCACTATGCGATAGGAAGATACCAATTAGAGAGAAAGGTAAGTTTTATAACAATAATAAGACCAATAATGTTATGTTAGAGTGAATGTCCGCCTCAAAAGCCCAGTATATCCACAAAATGAATGTTGTAGAAATGTGAATGGCAAGATGGTTGTTCAATCATATAAGATCAAACAAGATTAGAATGATCACAATTGCCATAAAATAGAGATAAAACAAGAGAAAGTAACATGAAATGGTTGGAAAGTCCCCTACTTTAACCTCACCGATTTGCATGCATAGCACTATGATGATTGAAGGTATTAAAAGGCAACAAGGGAAACATAAAATCACATGGAAGGAAGTAGACACCTACACTCTCTCGGGATATATGGGGTTTTGGTGAATAACTTAACAAAAAAGAAGCAAATGATCCATATAGGTTATACCAATTGTTAGGATTAAGGTTTAGTCGTGTTAGTACACTTGCATTAGTTCTGGTGCTAGCTAGGAATCTTTTTAATTTGTTTTGATATTTGTTTGTTGGGTACCTACAAGAACAAAAGGATTTGTATGTTGGCATAAAATGTAGATAACCTCTAGTGTCTGAGAACCCTAATTTGTTTCAGAGGATAATTTCTGAAGTATTGGTATGAAACATGTCCATAAGCAATAAAATCGGTATTGAGAATTAATAAAACCAACCGAACTATTTTGGGCTGAGTGTTAGTAGTTGTTTGTCATTGTTAATGTTGTTTGCTAAGACCTAAACTCTAACAATCATATCAAAGAAGGGTTTAAATTAGAAGTTAACTTTCAATACCCTAAGCAGAATTGGACCATGATCCTCGTCGGATATTGTGATACTACGTTTCTGCGCAAGACACTCATTGCCTGGTTCTGGAAAAATGTCTGGTAGTGGACATTCCTTTTGGTGGCAAGTCACATGTATATCGTGCTGAAACTACATTAAGAGTGACGCTTGTCTAGGGTTCTGCTGGATGCAGGTAAATGGCTGGCTGTATACATTCAACAAATACTAATAAGATGTTTTATTTGCTCAAATGAAAATTTGAAAAGAAAAATGTTTGGGTAAATATTATTAGCTAATAGGCTTAAATATGTATAATGGGTGCTCTCAGTTTGTTAATGAGTAAACTGTCATATTCTCCTCCTCTTTGTACCTTAAACCTTGGTTAAAAATAGGTAAAGAGATATTTTTAGGTTTACTTCTTTGAGACTTTGACATCCTCCTACTCTTCATACTTTGGCAGACTTGCAATTACATTCACATTGGAGTTGTACTTTGTGTACAATTTCTTAATTCCAGGGTCTTAAGTTAGTAATAAACCGGGTGGTAATTAGAAATCCAAGAAATGCATCATTACTGAATCCCTAACTGACTTAGGAATAGTAGTCATATGCCATTACGGAGTAGCTTGAGCTCTGATTAATTAACTGACGAGAAAGCTTTACTTGCAGGGGAGCAGCTGGGCAACCGAGGCTATTGGTTCCTGTTGTTTTGGTTATGATCTATAACCGGTGGAATGGGTAAGGATCTTCCACTGTCACCATATTACATCAAAGCACGTGTGGATAGAATAATTGTTTCAAGGAAAACTTCTCTTATAACTTTTCTGCATCGATAAAGAAATTTAGTTGGTTAAAGGAGCTTCAGACTTCAGTTTCTTCTATTCTATCTTTTACCTTCACGATTTGGATCAGACCTTTTAGTTTACCAAGCATAGAAGTTAATTACTTGTGAGTCGAAGAACAAAGATGGAATCTAGTAACCTGAGGCAAAAAGTATAATATTTACAGAGCAGTGTCGATGCAGCCAACAGATTTGGACATAGGCCGAGGCAAGTTATTGACACTTGAATTTTGATTTAATGTAATGGCATTAAAATTATTAATGTGATTGTTTCTAGTTTGAGATGTCCCAAGGATATTGTCCATGACTGAAAGTCAAAAAATGAAGTTTTCATTCAGTTCCGAATAATCGCCTTCATTCAACTTGAGCAGAGGCGGATCCAAAATTTAAACTTTATGGGTTCAACTTTTAAGATTTTTAGCATTGACCGTTATATTTTGTAAGTTATGGGTTCATGTCTACTATTTATTACAATTTTAGTGAAGTTTTACACATAAATTTATGATCCGCGCCAAAAGTTATGATTTCTGTTGAACCTGTGCCTACAATGGTACATCCGCCCCTGAACCTGAGACTTGTCCGGTAATAAGTTGAAACACCACTAGAAAGGGTATTATCAACCATTCTGAAGTAGCTTGAACTTGTTAGTGCTTCAATGGACCTAAGAATCATTTACAGATTAATTCTTTGAAATTTTTTCAGTAGCAACCTCTGATGCTTTTACCTTGCATTAAGTGGCTTAAGTTAGTGTCCTTTGCTTACTTAATTTTGGTTTCTTTCCAGTATTCTTGAGGCGGAGTACGGGTTCATGCACCTTGACTTGATACCCATGTTAGTTGGATTCTTCACTTACAAGATTGCAACTTTTGCCCAAGCTATCGAAGATGCATTGACAACAGTTGTAGAAAAGAAGACAGAAACATAATTTTAATAGGTATGGCTCCAAACTTCCGCTTAGCGATGATAATTTTTACCTCAATGTTAATTTACTAAGGTATATATGTTCACAAAAATCTTCTCGTTTTAACCTTGGGTGTGTAGTTCAAGCAATGATTTCGTGTAGCATCCAGGAGGTAAAGTTGAACCTTGCGTAACTGGTAAAGTTGTTGTCATGTGACCAGGAGGTCACGGGTTCAAGTCGTGGAAACAACCTCTTGCAGAAATGCAGGGTAAGGCTGCGTACAATAGACCGTTGTGGTCCGGTCCATTCCCGGACCCCGCGCATAGCAGGAGCTTAGTGCACCGGGCTGCTGTTTTTATCCAGTTTTAATAGCAATAAATACTGTTTTGTCCCTCTATTTTGAGTTTGCTTTCGTTTTCTTACCTTTTGCCTCTCGAATACTTGTTGCAGAGACGAATTTCAGGAACTGCAAAATGGGATTCAAAATATAGTGACTACTAGAATTCAAGAACATCTTTCTGCTCTTACGTCTGTACTGTCATGGGAAATAACAAAGAATTCAAGTGGAAGAGTGGTAATTTAAGGTTCTGAACTCTTTGAATGTATAAGGTTAGGGCAAATGTATCTATTATTATGTAGCTGGTCCAGACACCATTGCCATAATAAATTTTTTAATTTATGGATGTGGTCATGCACTAAATCATATTAATTTACAGTAAGACTATAAATGGCCATGTACAAACAAAAAATGCTTCCAAATTATTTGCAAAAGAAAACAAATTGGAAGGGGTAACATCAACAACAGTTGGGTAAAATAAAAAATTGGCCAATCAGCCGAAACAAATTGATGACTTCATCTTCCTAAAAGTCGGAACTTGTGCTCAGACTATCACTATATAATTGGGCAAAATACAAAGGTCAGTCGAAATTAATTGTATTATCTGGCCAAAAAGTGTGTATTATATGTATATAATATACACGCAACAATAACAACAACAACAAACCTAATGTAATCAGACAATACAATGTTAGTTGACCAAAATAATCTTAATCACATCAAACTTTTATATATATATATTTGGGAACGATTAAAAAAATACATTTCTCCATACGATTTGCATAACGTTTTTGCGTTCCTCATCTCTTCTTCGTTGGGAACAGCTCTGAGAAGCCGAAAAGGGGCAATTCTAGAGACCTTTGATAGTTGGAAAGTGCAAAAAGGTGCGAGGAAATGATGTTCGTAATTTTTCTCTGGTAAAGAATAGTTGATTTTATTCACTTCAATTTGATCTTAGTTGAATAAGAGGTCAATAGGCAAATGTTTGTACAAGAAATCTCAGGGTAAGATGAAGTGATATCATTGCTACACGAATGTTTACAAAATTTAAGAAAATCAAAATTACTCAAACTTTTTTTTCAAGGTTAAATAAATCTTGCTCCAGGTTGTGAATTTCTAGTTTGATGTAGAAGTATTTCTATGTTATCAAAATTTTAGAAATGGTATGTCCTTTCACCAAAAGCAATATTGCATACTGAGAAAAGATGTCAAAATGTTTCTGATGCTCCTTATCATCAACAGCTCTCGTAGCTCAGTTGGTTAGAGCACCCGTTTAGTAAGCGGGAGGTCTTGAGTTCGACTCTCAACGAGAGCAAAAGTGCTAACTATACCCTTTTTCTTCTTTGATCTTTGCTTCACATCCCCAATGAGATTGCCAGGACATTGAAAACTACAAGTTTTTTCCTTGCGTGGGTATTCGTTTCACAAGTTTCATAAAGATGCTAATGGTTTTGGCTTTCATCAGTAGATTTTACTACCTTCCTATTTCCATCACATATGCATTTATTTTATCATTTTCTGCAACCCTAAAAGACCAAGTTCAAACACTGTTCGAAAATCTGATTAACTGCCAACAGGAGGGTATTGACAAGCCCCAAAAAAACAAAAATAGCAGGTCAAGCATACACCAAGAGCCAGCAAGTTTTTTGCCATCTTTTCCCTCCCCTGTAAGATTCCACTGGGTTTTTTTGTTGTTTCACTAAGTTTCAACCGGGGTTGCTTTCAGGTGTCAAGGACCATAAACTATTACAAGGAACGAGATCGCGCTTTCAGGTGTCAAGGACCATAAACTATTACAAGGAACGAGATCGCGCAATAGTGAAACAGAATTTCATTTCAATCCTCAATCACAACCATCCTTCAATTTAGAAAAAGCTAGAAACATAAAATTAAGAATCGAACGTTGAGCTCTATATGAGAATCCATTTGGTTGAAATGCATGACCAAGTGAGTCAAAACCAGGAACCTCATTATTCCATTCACATTTGCCTAGACAGTCACCACCATATGCCTAAAGCTCAAAAGATACTTTTCTTTACTCATCGGAAGGAAAAAAAAAAAGAACGCCAATAAAGTCAAAAGATATAATCAAGACCACGATGAGGGTCTGGTTCAGGCCAATACTTCCACCAAGCAAAAGAATAAAATGGTTAATTTACAGAGAAATAAGTTACAAGCTCTTTATCAAGTCTGAAAGTCTCTAAGCAAAAGTAGACCAAATAGAAGCCTGAACTACATCTATCGCTCGTCTTCACTATAGCAGATTTGTATACTCTTGGCGAGGTTAACCAAAATATATGTATCACCTCCAAAAGATTCGTTGAAAAATGCACACTGTTCTAGTCAACATTCCTTCTACAAGTAACCATCTGCTCATAAAAAATAGAAATTCGTGAACTTTTCATTTTTTCCAAAGCAATTTCAAGCTAACCTCCCAAGAATAGCAACAAAATATTGTTTTTTTTTTTTAGGGGGGGGGGGGGGGGGGGAGGGTAACGAAAAGGAAAGGATTCTCTTCTTTTCTTAAACTTCTATTTAGGAGCCGGAGTGCACCAACAAAACTTCAGACCCTATCAATTGCTAATTTCATAAACAAAACTCAACAATTGTAAACTATTCCTTCAATGCATTGCCACCCAACCCCAAGGAGAAACAGGATCTCGATATAGCGAACAGAATAGGTTATCAAAAAAATTTAGCTAAACAGAATAGTATTTGTTGTAAATTTACAATAATAGACTAAGGAGAAAATCAACTATAAATTGAAGCTATTCATCACAGTGCCAGACCAGTCATGGTGGGGGAAAAGAATTAAAGAATGACGACTTGAACACAGTACAAGAATATTCAGTGCAAATTCTAAGATTATTATGGGACGAAATAGCAAATTAATTTGTTAAAATAAGATGCTTTATCCTTACAACTACCAATCTATGCTGACATAGTGATAAAGGAGAGAAATGGATTGAATGCAGTTACAAAAGCAATAAACATATAAGACTCATCTTGTCAAAAGAACAGATATAATGCAAACAATAGGCATGCATATGCCAGCAGATGCACATTTATAACTATGAGTAAATATATTTTCTTAATGAATAAAATTTTTCGCACATATCCACGTGCATTGGATCTTCACTGCTCTTATTAGCAGTCTTTGTGAAGCTTAAACTGAATGTTATCTCAGCTCCCTAGTGGCATCATGTAAACAATTTTTGCAACCATTACATCAACCATTCCCCAGGTAGAAGTACATAGTCTCAAGACCATAACTATTACTGTGTTTTGAAACTACTGAAAACTAATGCTAATAACAAACTTTATCAATATGTTTAACACAGGGAAAAGTGCGTATCTGCTTCTTTTTAATCAGTCTGTTTAACAAACATGATTAAAAAATGCCTCCATAATAATGTGCCTTATATATTTGCGCATGGCAGTTATAAGAGAAAGTGTAAGTAAAAATGCATTCTTGAAAATGAAATTGAATTGAACAAATCGAAATTACTCTAACGGGAGAATGAAGTACTTGACGGAAAAGTACAGTTTAGATCATTATTAACCATTTAGTTCAACACCAGATTGCTCGAGGGATGCATAGCGTGGGGCTAGTGAGGGTAATAGGAAAGAAAAAGCTTAACAAAAAAGCATAACGCAATGCCAAATTAGCCCAAAACTCCCCATCGCCCCTCTTGCGGGAACATCTTTGTCACCAATATCCAAGAAAAGAAAGAAAAAGTTAACAGAAAACCAGCAGTTGGTCAAAGCCTCATGAAACCTCAAGAAACATCCACAGATCCAATCATCCAAGCCTCAAAAAAAAAAAAAAAGAAGAATAAACGGTTGGTTCAAATATCATTTGATTTCTTTAATGACCAATAAGATTTCAAAAGAATTTATCCAGTAAGATACATAAGCTAATTAATTTTGGTAAAACGAGAGACGCATACATAAATGAAGAGGCCGTTATCTAAACAGTTTACTTACAAGGCTAACGAATGTAGAATAGGGCCTGTTGTGCAAACTTATATAAGCCCTCAAAAGCAGATTCCTGACGCATAAAAGACCCCACCTCCCAAGAAAGTTTTTTCCACTAGTTTTTGAGACTGGAAAGTTGAAGTCAAACAATAAAGGAGGCATTGCACAGCTGGGCCTAAGGAAGAAGGAAACGAAGTCGTAGAGCATGGGATGTCGCCCCACTAGCACTTATATGGGTTCTAAGGAAGGGGAGGAAAAGGAGAGTTTTTGCTGGTGTAGGTCTGACTTTGTGCATTTGAGAAATAGCCTCTTTTTGGTTCACCCATGAGGTTCCAGTCTGGCAGTCTAAAAACATTGGGTGTACTTTGTAATGAACCATATTCTTGCAAGGCTATCCAACTTTCCATTCATTAATAAAATTATTTCATGTTATCAAAAAAGAAAAAGTTACTAACAATCAAGAGGTTAACTGGTTTAGAGATACAATGGGCGATCTTGAACTTGCATCTACTATATGGACTTTGCTCTAAATAGAACATCATTTACTAATTTTCATGTCAAATACAATACTGTTTTTCCCAAAACCTATGGAATAGTCAAGACATGTGAGATCAATGTCAAATGTAGGGGTGTTCATAAAAACCCAAAAAGCCGAACCAAACCGAAAACCAAACCAAACCGACCAAAAAAAACCGATACTTTTTGATTTGGTTTGGTTTTGGTTTTGAATTTTAAAAACCGATCAAATTTGGTTTGGTTTTGGTTTTAATAAAAAAATAACCAAAAAAATCGAACCAAACCAACTATAGGAGTAGCTATTTCAAATTTATTATTACACCTATATATATGTATATTTTCATACAAAGTTTCAAAATTTTTATGGTGAATGTTAATCGTTCGCACTTTTAATACAATTTTTTACCTTTATATTCTAGTTTGATAGGTAGTTTTCTTTTGTCAAGTGTAAGAACCATTTCTATGTTAAAAAAAAGTATATTTTTAATTGAGTTCTTAAATTATTCATCACTATTTGATTCAATTATCATCAATATATTTTAGTAAATAATAGATTTCTCAAAGGTTATTTCTCAAAGGGGGCAATTGATTTGATAGTGTTACGTTGAAAATGTGGTCGACGGAATATGTGTTTGGTAGTGTATGTCTTATATTTAAGAAAAAACCGACAAAACCCGACATAAACTGAATCGAGAAAAAACCGACTTAATTGGTTTGGTTTGGTTCTAATATTTGAAAAACCGACTTACTTGGTTTGGTTTCTTTTTAGGGAAAAACCAATCCAACCGAACCATGAACACCTCTAGTCAAATGTTCTTGACAACTAACCCATTTAAGATGTGTTCTACATTAGTTCTATCACTGAAAAACTGAATGAA